GGACAGTTTTAGCCAATATGACAAAAAAGTGATTTTTAAAAACTTACAGACTTCAGCTTTAATATACTGACTGTCAAAATGTCAAAGTTGGACATTCTACATGATGGTATCCCTGCTGCCACCTTCTGGTTTAGAGGAGAACTGCTTGTTCCTGTGGTGAGTTGCATCCATTCAGGAACAGCAAATCTCCTAATAGAGGTGTCCCTAGGGGTGCCCAGTGATTGGCTAGGGTTGTCCATGCCCCCCTCTAGATCCACCCCTGAATACATCAGCAAAGGTGTCCTTCATGAGAATAAGAAATATGCTATCCCTTTGTGGTTGCACATGTATGTCCTTACATATTAAAATTATAAAGCTGCTATTGGTCCTGTAGTTATATTTTAAAGTTGTGGATTGATTTGGGAACAACTTTAGCATCATCATTAGCGTGAGCTTGAGTAGGAGCCCAGACCTGAGCTACAGGGCAGCTGTTTTGAACGTCCACTTCTTGTACAGGTCTTTCAGTGCCGTGAAATTAAGATTTCTTTAGTGACATCTTTAAAAATTCTTTAACAGAGAGAGCTACAAAAATCATGCTAAACTTCTCAGCTTAGAGAAGACGTACGACATTCTCATCCTGTTTGTCTCTTCACATTGGAACTGAGAATAAATCTGTGTTCATTCATTCAGCAACAAAAAAAGCATTTTTTTTATTACAGTAAACATATTTTTGAAAGGTCTTTACAATAATTTTCATGGTTTACATTTCAGAAATGTTACAGTATTGTAATAATTGTTTGAATACTTCAATAACATCACTTTAAATCTCCCAGGTGTGTCTGGTTGCCACGGCACCCCTAACCAACTTGGCTCTGGCTGTGAGGATGGATCCATCTCTGCCGCGTAAACTCAAAGGGCTCTACATCATGGGAGGGAACACGGAGTGTGAGTGAAACACCGACAGCTTGTAGAGTCGTTCATTTCCACTTCACTCATCCATTACTGTCCACGGACAGCATGGCTACCGGTACAGACTTTGTTTGGATTAAAATCACCACCCAAGTTGAAAAACTTGTTGGAAAGGAAACCTCAGTTGCAACACAAAGCATACATCTTTAAAGGTATAGTGGAAGATTTTCGCAAATTTTGGATAACCGCCCTCTCACCTTAAAAAAGAAAAATGCACATGCACAATCCTGTACTCGCTCCTGAGAGGGAACGCCTATTAAACCAGTGCAAGAGCATGAACTAGCCCATTTCTCCTGTTTAAAAGTTGCTGCTTGCATCGCTCATGCAAGCTTTCTTTCCAAAAGAAGATTTGCAATTTTTCCACTTTGTCAGACTCACCATCAGTAAGTGAAACAGGGACTAGCATGTAGGACAGCCTTATGGAAACATATCAGAATGATTGACATTTAGGAGGACCACTTATTTTGATGATCCACCCGGAAAAAGAATATCCTACACTATACCTTTAATATCAACATTTTTGTAAAATTTTTTCATTGTAAATGAAATTAGACCAGTTATCCACTTACTGTTACTTAAAATCAGACTAATGCATCCCAATCATATTTTTATATTTTAAACTTGCCTAAATACACAGCTCTTAAAGAAGTGACTAAAAATTCTGTTTTTATTGCTGAGAATAATTAATACGGCACATTGGAAGCCTAAGAAAGTATAGATATTTTTTTTCTTATCTCTTCTCTTGGTAAAGACTGACTTTTTGTGGTTCCCCTGTAACGAAGCCCGAGGAAACATCACGGTGTGCGGCGAGTTCAACTTCACTTCTGATCCAGAAGCTGCATACATCGTGCTGAATGATTACCAGTGTCCAACCTACTTGGCCTGCTGGGAGTTTACCTGCTACAACAAGCTGCCCTGGGTAATTTCTCATCTACTCATCATGCGTGGATGATGTGTAGACACCATGCTGTGCATTAGTTCAGGGTTTCCATCATTTATCAACAGTAAAATATTGCAGCTTGTGATGCACTTTTTAATTTCCTCAGGAGTTCTGTGACGCCTGGTTGGCGCAGAACACCCATAAAGCTCGCTTCATGGCAAAGATCTTCCGCCACAGCATCGAGGCGTCAAAGACAGACCGCTTTGAGAGAGAGTTTATTGCCGGGTCGGGCCTCATTTCCTGTGACTCATATGCTATGGCGGCCGCTGTGGATGACTCATTCATCATAGAGAGCGACCAGTTTCCAGTCAGCGTGGAGCTGATGGGGCATAACACCAGAGGGATGATGATCGTGGACACTCTGGGACTGCTCAACAAAACGCATAAAGCTTTTATCATAAAAAAGGTGGATATGGAGAAGTTTAAGAGGATGATGATGGCGGCTCTGGAATGAGTTTCACCTCGTTGCCGTATGTCTTTAACTGATAATGCTTTAAAGCTGCACATGTACCTTCATGATGGAATGACTCCAGTATAAACAGACTGAAACCTTTGACTTTGGTCATTGTTTATTGAAGTTGATGCTTTTCATTCATCACACACTCAAAGATAAAATGTTCTCACATACTGGATGCTCCAACCAATATGAGCTCTGGTCTTATTCTGCTCCCCCATATTTTAAAGATTAATGGTGTAATCCTCTGTAGGTTCTTCATATCCCGTAGCTTGCTGCTGCTCTTCCTCACCTGTGCTTCAGGTGAGGTATTGATAAAACTAAAGATGCAGGTTCACACACGCTGAAGAACTATTGATTGTGATCAATATAAATATTTACAGCTTTTCGATCAGCCATGTCAGACGTTAACGTTGGTATCAGTATCCTTTCCTCCCTCTGAATCGTGACCTTGTGTCAAGCTGTGGATAGAAAACATTTTATTAAAGTTGTTTAGTTGATATATACAGTGAGGAAAATAAGTATTTGAACACCCTGCTATGTTGCTAATTCTCCCACTTAGAAATTATGGAGGGGTCTGAAATTATCATCGTAGATAAATGTCCACTGGGAGAGACATAATCTAAAAAAAAAACTAAAAAAATCCAGAAATCACAATGTATGATTTTTTTTTCTAACTGTTTATTTGCATGATAAAGTTGCAAATAAGTATTTGAACACATGAGAGAATCAATGTTAATATTTGGTACAGTAGCCTTTGTTTGCAACTACAGAGGTGAAATGTTTCCTGTAGTTTTTTTATCCAGTTTGCACACACTGCTGGAGGGATTTTGGCCCACTCCTCCAGACAGGTCTTCTCTAGATCAGGCAGGTTTCTGGGATGCCGCTGAGAAAAACAGAGTTGAGCTTCCTCCAAAGATTCTCTATTGGATTTAGGTCTGGAGACTGGCTAGGCCACACCAGCACCTTGCTATGCTTCTTCCAGAGCCACTCCTTGGTTATCCTGGCTGTGTGCTTCTGGTCATTGTCATGTTGGAAGACCCAGCCTTGAACCATCTTCAATGCTCTAACTGAGGGAAGGAGGTTGTTCCCCAAAATCTCACAATACACGGCCCTGGTCATCCTCTCCTCAATACAGTGCAGTCACCCTGTCCCATGTGCAGAAAAACATTACAAAGCATGATGCTACCACCCCCATGTCTCACAGTAGGGATGGTGTTTTTGGGATGGTACTCCTCATTCTTCTTCCTCCAAACACGGTCACTGGAATTATGACAAAAAAAAGTTCTATTTTGGTCTCATCTGACCACATGACTTTCTGTCATGACTCCTCTGGATCATCCAAATAGTCATTGGTAAACTTAAGGCGGGTCTAGACATGTGCTGGTTTAAGCAGGGGAACCCTCCATGCCATGCATGATTTCAAACCATGACGTCTTAGTGCATTACCAACAGTAACCTTGGAAACGGTGGTCCCAGCTCTTTCAGGTCATTGACCAGCTCCTCTCATGTAGTTCTGGGCTGATTTCTCACCTTTCTTAGGATCAATGAGACTCCATGAGGTGAGATCTTGCATGGAGCCCCAGTCAGAGTGAGACTGACAGTCATGTTTAGCTTCTTCCATTTTCTAATGTTTGTTCCACCGTTGGCCTTTTTTTCCCCAGGTTGTTTGGCATTTTCCCGTTGGTTTTTTGTTTTTGGCCTTTTTATTTTTTGGTTCTTTCTTGTTTTTTTTGGGTGGACAGGTGTCTTTATGCAGCTAACGACCTCAAACAGGTGCATCTAATTTAAGATAATAAATGGAGTGGAGGTGAACATTTTGAAGGGAGACTAAAAGCACTTTATAGATAGACAGTTGTGAAAATAATTGTTTGCAGCTGTATCATACAAATAACTATTTTGTTTAAATCATATATTGTGATTTCTGGAAGTTTTTTTTTGGTTATGTCTCTCACAGTGGACATGCACCTACAATGAAAATTTCAGACCGCTTCATGATTTCTAAGTGGGAGAACTTGCAAAATAACAGGGTGTTCAAATATTTATTTTCCTCACTGCACATGCAGCATTCCTACCACCCTCAAACCTCTGGTTAAATGTCCTTTATAAACATCTGTTCTCTATGAAAAAAGTGATTACAGACGTACCATGGACCTCTTGCACTCAAAGAATGATGTCTGCAGGGCTTTGCAATGGCCTTCCTTCAGACACTCGCTGGGCATCTTTCCCTCCTAGTAGATATAAACACACATAAATATGCCGTCTTTAATGTGACAATAGAAACTGCATTTTAAGCTTATTTCCTTGGTCCAAAACTTACCAAGAAAATTCCATATCATAGCTAATTGGTCTTTTTCATAAACATTAGACTGTTATTCCTTTCAGCTTACTGGTGGGGTGGTGGGAAATGCAGAATACATCGGCTGCAACTAAAAGTGGATTATCTGTGTTTGGTTTTTAAATCAGAATTTAAGCTTTTTAATTGCAAAGCTGAGGTTTCAGACATACAAGGAATTTGTTTTAGTGATGTATAAATAAAGCCAAGTTGTTTATAAAGAGCAAGGTGGCAGTATGGGCAGTTCAGGGCAAAGACCAGCAGGAGCCAGTGCCCCAATAAAACTGGTCCTAGTGCCTCTAGTGAAAATGTAGTAAAACTAAATATTGTTATATGAGCTGTGGCTACACAAAAAGATGAGAAGCTTCCTCTTTTTTTTTTTTTTTCGGTGCACTTTGGGTTCTCAGGTTGCCAAAGATATATCGCAAAAATTCTAAGCATTGCATCTACTGAGGGACAATTAGGAGTTCTTAGAAAATATGTTGTCCCACCTTGGGCAAAAAACTCATACATTATGTTATTTGTTACTTGATTCCTGTTTAAGTATAAAGCTTAAATATACTAAAATATATGATTCCTGTTGCTCCAATTGTGTAAAATAACTCATTTTAAGTTTAGCTTATTTTATTCTGTTATAATGTTTTGACTGTTAAGTAACTTATTGTACTAGCTGACAAACTTTAACATAAACATCAGACAATGCGTTTTATGTTTTCTATGTGTCCTCTTTACTTGTATACAGTTCAAAGAACAATTAGTCTAATATCTGTTGAATAGATATTGAATTTAATCGTCATGGGATTGATTCAGGGCCGGACTGGGGCAAACCTTTTGCTGGGGCATTTTTAGCAAAGCGCCGCCCCACCCACCCAATGACCTTGATTAAGAAATAAAAAAACAAATAAAAAAATATATTGATATACATATTTTAGATGTACAAGATATATATTTAATCTTTGATGACGATTAAAGCCGTTTCGTTTTTTTGTCTGATTGGTGATGTAATTCCACCCTAGGGCCCATAAATATTTGCCCATTGACTCTTGTTAAAAGCTGTACAAGCGCAGTAGCTGCTCTGCAAAAAAACGCATAGGAGGGCACTTCAAATCACTTTACAGTTCACCAGATCATCCAGTCAGATTGATTCAAATTTTTCTATCTAAGGAAAACCAGTTGATTGCATCGACTCATTGACTTGAATGCAATCTCTCACACTAAACATACTTGTAGAGACAGTGGAGAGGAAAAACTCCACTGTCGCTACACCCCATTCCTGCTCAGGGCGCAGGAATGGGGTGCCCCAAGGTGGCAGAAACTGTAGTCACAGTTTAGTGTGGGTGATTGACAGGTCGAGTCATAGGAGTGAAATCCCTTAAAGCAAACTTCCATTAGAAGCTGGTGGTGAAATCGTTTGGACCTGATCAGACGAACATCAAAATTAATCAGCAGTCCAAACACAGATGGGATTGTTCACTCTGTCTTTTTCCAGGCCATGGTTGAGCTACAAGGCTTGGCTAACTGCATGCAGCGCGGCTAATGCTTTATTCTGCTTTCCCTGCCTCCTTTTTCAAACATCAGGGTCTGACCCAGCATGGATAAAGACAGGAAGGACTGATTTAAAGTAAAAGAAGAATGAACAATCTGGGATTCACATGGAAAATAATATAATATAGTGTACTTTTTCTAGATGTTTGTCAATTTGCATTGTTGCTCTTAAATTAAAAAGTTTTTATACATTAGAGAATATATAGCTGACTAATAGCTTCTCTATTATTAAACAGGTACATTATTTTTTTTAGGTTTGTGACACCATATTGGACCCATATTGGACAAAGCCTCAGAAGGGCAAAATGTATGTACAGAAAGTAAAACTTTTAAATTATATTATCTTTTTGTATTCATTAAGTTTTTATTTTTTTTATTTATGTTTTTTGTTTTTGACATTTGACAGTTTTTTTTTTTGGTATAGGTCTATTTTAAATTTTTAGCCCCTCCTGGAGAAAACTCCACCAGCTGCCACTGATTGGCACAGAGAGGAAAAGAAGAAAATCCTAATTATTAATTATCAAATGTTTAGCTGAATTTAAATGTGAGGATTTACAGTGGTCTATCAATCTGCATCGGGTTGAAACCTTTTCCTCATTTGCTTTCAATCTGAAAAGGGCTTGTTTTTTTTGTTTCAGATGTGAATTCAGCAAACAAATCCAACAGTTTTGGTTCTAGTTTATCTTGTAGAAGTCGCACCTTAGCATAGCGTTAGCATTTTATCGGGTTAGAAAAGCGGATGAGCTAGATGAGATACAGCTAATGGCTTTTACAATATAAATTAGTTTTGTTTACCATCTCTCTCAGTGTCCCTTCCTTCCACCTACCTTTACCACACAGTCATGCTGAAGGAGACAAGCCTTGAAGTCCTCTCTAATGCCCGCGCAGGCTCTGCTGTCCTCCTCTTTATCCTCGTAATATTTAGGCATTGTTCAGAGTTCACTTTTAACAACAAAACAAGCGAATGTCAAACTGAGGGCTGCAGTAATTCACGCATAAAAAGCTGTGATATGTAACTGTTATGAAGCTCTGTCAGTCGCCATGATTGCGAAAGGCATTGTGGGAAAGCGGAAGTAGAAGTGCAGGCTGGGATTGCTTGTAGTTTTTTTCCCATTAACATGTGACTCAATTAATTGAACAATTGGATTTTGGGCCACATAGCTTTAAAATCGAGTTTTTAAAATAAGAAACCTGAAAATGAAGATGGAATGAAAGAAAAAAACAAAAACAAAACACAAAAAGTACAATTAGTTCCACCCAGTTCAGATGTTTATTCAAAATCAATGTTCATGGAAAATTGATGCCAAAAAGATCACCAGAATCAAGCAAACATGGACACGATGAAGGCACATGAACTGAAGTTGTTGAGTGAATGTCCTTTGTATTTTTTTTTTTTTTTTTACAGACATGTCCTGCTTTCCTTAAAAAGAGCAGGGAAAATCCCAGACAGCATGGCAATGGGTCCCTTACATGCATTCATTTTCCGTTTGTTTATGAAAGCAGATGCAACATTAAAAGCAGAAGGAAAAGGTATTTTTTAAGCATTTCGGGCTATGAAGTTTTGCTCAGATTTTCAAATTCAAAGAACTAGAGACTGACCAGAGCACATACTTCAATTGGGGAAAGGAAAGGGAACCTGTTTAACCTGAACAAAATGTTAGTAAATTACAATTAAAATCATAACTGCGATAAAGCATTTTAAGCCAGAATTAGAGTAATTAGAAAACAATCCCACCTAAAGGCACTTCACTAACCCCTTGACAGTGAAAACTACAATCACTATTACAAAAGATCAGTCAAGTTTCACTTACAAATAGTTTTAAATTAGATAGTTGGCCACATACATGAAAATGTAAAAAAAAAAAAAAAAAAAAACACTACCTCCAATAGGAAAAAAGTGATAGAATATATATCTCTAAATATATTTACAGCAGTGAAATTTATTGATCAGTAGTCATGTCCTGTCCACAAAAAGAACTTACCGTAACAAAATAAATGAAAAAAATGAAATGAGGTAAAAAAAATCATCAAAGCAGTGCAAATATTGCTGTGCCAGATCATAAGCTGATGAAATTAGTTTTCACTTCTTTTCAGCAGTAATATAATATTTAATATTGTTTTAATCTAGCATTGTTTTATCTAAATTAACATTATCCAAACATTGATGATTTTCCAGGCAAGAAACAGCGAAGAAAAAGATTGTTGAGAATGGGGGGTAATTTCAAGATAATGGTGTTTATAAGGCACATTTTTCCTACTTAGACTGGTATCTACTACCTCAGGGTTCCTACAGCTGTTACAGTAAGTATTCCAGATGTTTTCAGACCCATTTCCTAACCATTATCAGACCATTTCTACTAGGTACTACCAATCGGGTCAAATTGCTCTCACTCTGGTGTTTACCATTAATGAGCTCCCATAAAAACGCTAAACCTCTCTTCATTATTGAAGTTATATCCAGCTAATACAAAACAAAGCTGTACGGTAATGTAACTAGCTGCAAAAACGTGATAATTTGCTAAACTGTTAAGTTATCCACCAAAATATGACATTCATATGTGAGACCAGGAGCCATTATCCTTGAGAATAAGATATATTTATAAAACTATTTTTACATTAATATAAATTAAATAATACAAATATCTTACAAAAGCAATATTTTCAGCTAATTCTGTCGGTATTTCTTCCAACTATCTGAACATACAGAAAATATGACATTGTATTAACAAAGGCAGTTTCTGACTCTTTTAAATATTAAGATATTTCAACTAAATAACAGCTTATTTTATGAAATGACGATAACGAGATGTCAAGCATGTTTAGTCGTTTCATTATCTCATAAAATCTATGGCTTTAGGTCTCATATCAAGATACTCTTTACTTTAACTTAACCATCTCTTTAGTTCGCGTTTGATTAGATAACAGATTCAAAGTTTTGTTATAGTAAAATTCAAGGAGCTCATGATCATTTTGTTAAAAGGTGTTTTCAGCTTTTCCCCTCAAACATTTTGAGCTACTTTTATTGGTATAACCATTTATTATTAAAATATTTGAAGATATCAATCCTTTTTTAAAAGTATTTACAGCCACATTGTCTCATCATATGGAACTAGGATCTCCAGCTTAATTTGTCTTGATACATTCCCAGTACAGCAGGCACAATAACTTTATGAACCTCCTAATATAAGAGAAAATGATCACTTCCAGGCCATTTTTTTCCCCTCATTGTCTCATCCTCTCCCACTACAGTCATAAAATAAAGATTAACACCAATTATGATGTGATAACCACATAATTACCTCCTTATTTCTTAGAAAGTCTGATTTTCTTTTTCTTTAAATTGGAACCCAGAAGATTCTTGGAAAATGTTTTAACATAGGTTTCATATTAAAACGTGTAGGAACCCTGCAACAACTAAAACAGAATCTAGTACAATCCTCCTACTGTTTAACTTTCAATACCATGAAAATGAATTTGTTGACACAAGACTTTGCAAGGAGCTGTATGCCATGAAAACTAAAAATTACAGAAACTATTTAGATTAAAAAGAAAAGTCCATAAAAACACAGACTCATAACTACCATAAACATCTTTTAGAATAAAATATATTTTAACTCTTGTACAAATTAAAGATTTATTTTCAATAAATTAAGTCAACTTCATAGATCGTCAGTCATAGTTGTAATAATAATATATCAGTATAACAATATATTTCTTTGAGGAAATTTTGCCTCGCTAAAGTCCCTGTTAGCTAACCCTAAAATGACCTTGAGGTGAGAGAGATTTGATGACATACAGCTGATTTTTTTTGTGGATCAATAGGCTGCCTTAGGTTGGAATATATGGAAAAATACTCCCACCAGCCTAACAACAGGATATCTGTTTGATTGGAGTGAAGAGAAGATATCAGTTTGGGCTGGTGTGCATCTAGAGTCCCGTGTTAGACCTCCGCCGCTGCTTTTGGAGCCAGCCCACCGTTAGGAGACGTCAACATTCTTGATCATCGCTGGGGTTTGCTGAGGCACGAGAGACAGTGCAATGCCCCTGCTCGCCCACATGTGGCAGCATTGAGTAAGTGAGAGGGATTTGGCATCATCTCTACCACTGGCCAGGTGGATTGGTTCCCCCCACCTGTAAAGATTCAGCCGCGTGCATTCTTCCAGCAATTATCTGATTGGATTCAAAGCCGCTCTGCGACACTGTTCCTCTGAGAAGCCAGGCTGCGAGCGGATGTCTTCACACCCTCCTTGTTGACTGCAGACAGTAGTATTCACATTCTCAAAAATAAAATCACAAGAGTGTGGGAGTCATGAAGAAAGTCAGGGAGAGACTGATAAATAAGAAGCAAAAACAAAGCAAATCAGGTAGAACGAGGACAGAGAGCTGGCATTTCTTAGACAAGTCTAAGCTCTAATGACTTCTCTGCTGGTTGCTAGGTACTAGAGACCCCGCATTAGCAGTCTGGGAGACTTTGGCCCTCCAGGGGCTATGATTCATGTACCTCCTCCTGAGCACTCAGCCAGATACCCTCTTTATATGTACCTGCAATGACAGAGCAGACCAATTTTCATTTAGTTATTTCCCTTCAGTGGGTGGAAACGATGAGGGTTTTCCTTGTCTGGACAAAGCATGTACCTCACTAAGGATGGCCCACACAGCAGAGTTTTTCTGAACTGAGAGTCGAAGGGCAACAACTGGGTTGAAGGCTGGATCTACAACCCCCTCTGCCACACCTTTCTCAAACTGACCTGAATGTTTAAACACAAACAACATGGAGGGGGAAAAAACGGGAAATATATAGAAAAATTAGACCACATGTGTCCTGCTCCAACAGCTCACACACTGATGAATCTTATCCTGAGAATCATTTTTTTCTCCATTATCTAATATTTGTTTGCCTGCCAGGTGTACTAATCACTGTGCCACTGCTCTGAAGAATTCACCATTTCCAAAAAGTCTTACCGATCCTGTAGAAGCGATCTTCAGTTCGCTTGTACTTCTCTTTGGTCTGCAGTCCACTTTCCTAACAATAAAACACATAAAATAAAATTAAGAGACACAAATTCAACTCATTAACAGGTTAAAGGGCACCTGCTGCACTGATGAGAGACATTATGTTTACTGAAAAATATCTTTAAAATAGCCTTTCTATTGGAAATTTAACGACTAAAACAATGTTGATGAGCAGACTGACTCCTCAGTAGTTCAGTACCTATAAGCATATATAAGCCTGTAGCCTATTTCCCTTTTTTTACTTCAGGAGCAGGAGGCGTTTCCCTACCGAGGAAGGAAGTATTTCCACTGTGGTGTTCTCAATCTTGTCTCCTGGGTGCTCCTGGTTACCGCTGCGAAACAGGAACCTGCCAATTGAATCACGCATGAATTCTAACATTTATATTCATGGATGAGCATGAATCCTGCATGTTAGCTTCAATACTGAGGCAGTTCATCAAATAGTTTGTAGACATTACCCTTTCAATGCCCATGCTGTTCCTTTAGAACCTCTGCTGAAGTTAACTGACACAAAGTGGAAGTCAGAATGATGCGTTTTTCTCTAAAATCTGGTGTTATGGAGTGTCTGTACACCGCAAAAACTGGAAATCTAAATAAATAATTTTTTCTTAAAATAAGTACATTTTATCTTTGTGAGGAGGTGAGACAGTTTGCCATTGGAACAAGAAAATTTACATTTAAAAAAGAAACAGAAATTTTAAGTGCATGTTATCTAAGTATGTTATTTGTAAGAGTAAAATACTCATTCCATTGGCAAATCAGGTTATTTACCTGCTCAAATTGCAGGTAAATACACTTAGTTTAAAACATTTTTACTTATTTCTAGATCGTTTTTGCAGTGTACAAACTTTGCCTTATATGCAAAACTTCTAAACTTACAGACTGGGGAAAGATAACTATTACTAGTGCACAAATATGACCCTGGTGAGAAGAAAGCCAAAACAAGAAACATTTTCTGTTTGTCACATGTCATGTAGAAGACACTCCTGGTTTGTTTAAACTAAAATTAAAGTTCTTGGCAGATATGCAAAACACCACATGTAGCAGAAAGGTAACCCTGCTAAACGTTTAGAGCCACTGAAAATGGTGGTGGCTGCATGATGCTGAAGGACAATCAGGAATAAAACACAAGTAGAGATTACTTTAATCTTTAATGCCCTAAACTTACAGGCGAAGCTAAAGTAGAATCATTTAGTTAAAAGGTGCTCGTGTGTTACACAGAATTTCAAGAGTTCAAGATTAACTGGAGGAAAAGTGCAGCCAAGTGGTAAATCTAAAAGCTTAACAGAGATAAAAATAGATCTCCTATTACATTTGAAGCAATTTTTAGGATTGTAATTGTTACATGTAATGTAAGACAGTGGTGGCAGTGAAAAGGTAATGTGTAACCACTAAAAGACCAGGAGTCCGTTTCACAAAGCAGGTTTACTGAAAACAAAGTTTTCTAAACCTGAAAAAAGGGAAAATGACTTTTCCATTTCACAAAGAGAGTTTATTCAACTTCTGTCTCAGTTACCATAGAAACATTCTCCCCAGAGCTAATCTGGTCAGTTGCAGGTACTTACTATATAATTTTGTTATTCTTTCATTCTGCTACAAAAATGTAATTTAGAAAATATATTATTACAGTTCAGTGTAGGAGTGTGATTTTGATCAGGAAGAATCTTATTTTAGAGTTGTACAAATGGAACAACAGAGAGAAGAATGTTATTAATAAATGTAAAAATGGCTTGCCATAGACCACTTCATATAAACCTATAGATTAAATTGAGCAACAATCTTTTCATTCGCCATCTTCCTCTCCTTTGCAGCTAAAATGCTGTTTCTTTGTCTTTTAGACACATTCCATTTTTTCATGTCTCCAATAAAATCTCTAGTTCCAGTTGGGTAAAATAGGAACTTCCTGTTGCATGTTGTCATGGTGACTCATAGTATCGGGGCTCCACTGATAATGGCATTTCATACTTCCCGACATTAGGCTAGATCAATTTAGCAGTGATTGGAATCTGAGTTTGTTAAACCTGCTTCGTGAAACGGACCCCAGGTTGTATTACTGTGCTTCCAATATTACTTTACAATAAAATAAGCTTAAAATAGGGTTATTTGCTTTTCACAAACCTAAACAAAGGTTTGCTTTACTCTAAGGCTGGTTTTAACCTGTTTATAAATTCACCATCTTCCCTTCTATCTGCCCCACCACTGCAGAGAAGCCAGCCTGAGAATGCTGAATTTAGAGCACTCTCATTAGCTCAAGCTGACCTCAGGAGACATACACACACACTCTCTAAAGCTAGGCCTCACTTACTGAAGGACAGAAAGTAAAAAACCTGGAATAGATTTCTGCATGAGCCTGTTTGTGAAAATCTCGCCCCATATCTACTTTTTTTTTTTTTGCCAATAAACTGTATACATTGATATTTTCTAGTGCTGCCTACATTTCGCAGGCACAATTTAATGCACATTTGTTGTAATCCTATACAGCATCCTCCCTGGAATCACTCTCCATATTTTTATCGCTGTCAAACCATCTGCCAATCACAGCAAGTGAGGCGGGTTGTTGTTTTAGGCTGATCTATAGCATATGTTTTGTGTTTAATCTTTGCTCATTACCTTTCTATGCTAACCGGTCGGTCAAATTTAAATAAAATGTAGTCTCCAGAAGTAGGGGTGATGGCCCAGAAGAAATCTTCTCCAAGGTACGTCTTCTCCAGAGTGTGGCCCTGATAAACCTGCACAATACAAGACAAATATATTTATGTGTGATATGAATACAGATTATAAAAATGTCATTAAACTACAAAAAAAGGTTTGATTTAATCAACAAGAGCACAAAATGTATACAAGAACTGTGGAGTGTTACCTTCATTGAAGTGGAGACCTCTGCAGGGGGGTTAACATGCATTTTATGGAGTAGCGGCTTCAGGAAGTCTTTATCCTACAGATGCAGACAAGAGGAAAACCATTGTTTCTATGCAGGAAACAGATTCATCTGGTTCTGAAAACCAACAACGTTCAAAACATGAGAACTCACCGTCAGTTTCTGAATCTTTCCAGCAAGAGAAGAATGGAGTCCGACGTGTTGAAATAGAGAGGGTCTAAACCGCACGCGAAGGCTGGATTTCTGTCGCTCACAGTGTTTCTGGAGGTAAAAAAAATTGCATGACAAATTAATACGATTACTTCTACTAATAAGGAATCAGTATTGACAGGACATACCGCATCTTTCTCAGGGTTACAGACTTTGACCCAGAGTATGTGGTCCAGCAGCCAGTCGATTGGCTTCTCTTTGTAGAACATAAAGATGAACTCAACAATGAGGTTCAGATCTGGAGCCTGGAACATTTTTCCTGTAGAAAAGAGAGAACAACCTCAGAGATGTTTACTTTTCCCCAAAAGAAACTCTATAAAAACTAGTTACTTTAAACAACACATATTAAAGCATATGAAAAAATACAAAAAAATAAATAAAATAACACAAAATATAAATATGTAATTAAATAAACACACTTATTCTTGTATTTCTCAGTTTTTTATATATTTTTCTGCATTTTCTCATTTTCTGTGTTTATACATGTATTTGTTTATTTCTACTTCTATTGATTTATATTTTCATAATTCTTTACATACATTTATTTCTACATTAATTTATTTCTGCTTTTACTTATTTCTTCCAGACATGGCTGCCGAAACAAATTGGGGGATGTTTGATCATTCCATCTTTTTAGGTGTGGGGCAAAGTTTCCCAGCAAACTTTTTTTTTGTCTCAGGCTTAAAAATACTCTGTTACTACTCTTACAGTAAAATCTATAATTTAAAGTACCAGAATAAAAAAATCTGTTCAAAACAACTTGTGTAATGTTGCATCCATTCTATTCACTCAAAAATTTGAACACCAGCCTAAATACATAAATTGATAAACATGAACACTGATGTCAGGCAGAGGTTATCATTGATAGTAGTAAAGCTAACTACTGCAGCACCACCTGGGCAATGAACCGTTTGTCCCACTTCCATTAGGGAAACAATTCAAGATTATTGCTTCAGAAACAGAGGTGGGTAGAAACTAGTAACATTTACTTAGTTGCATTTACTTACATCATAAAAATAAAAAAAGTAGAGAAGTAGTTTTAAAGCATTGTACTTTTACATGAGCAAAAACATGATAAAGTTTCAATACTCTCATTTAGGTAAAATGTCTTGCTGCTCCTTCCATCATGAGTAAATTCCCTTAATGAAAACAGGCTTGTTTTAAACAAATGTGCACCATTAAGGGAAATGCTTTATTTTTTCTTCTTCTTTTTTTTTTTAGCTGAATGTTATTTTCCATCTGCTGGGTCTGCCAGTAATAACAGTATACTGTAATTTAACCTGTTCTTGCATAATGATTTTGGAAATTTTATAAATTAAAAATGTACTTTGAAGAGTAGTTTTAAGTGTTCATTCCACCTATTTTGTATTGTGTTATCACTGTATTTTATATGTTTATTTTTATCTTATTCTTTGAAACACCAGAATTTGTATATCACTTAATATTTTGTTCAATTTTACATCATTTTTTGAAGTATTAAATCAGTTATTATGGTCATTGGTAGTAAGTAGATCAGTTACTTAGCCTTTTTTACCAAATACTTTTTACTGTTAGTTTAGTATTTTCTTTAAAGTATACTTTTTACTTCAGCAAAAATATGATGAAGCAGTGCTACTCTTAACTCTACCCACCTTGGATCAGAAACAGATAAGATTCAAGAAAAGTTTATTTCTCAATGCTGCAAAGGTCAAAGATAGGAGTGATAAAAAGTTGGCCACTCCAGAGATAAAAACAAAAGCCTAATAAAATAAAAACTTTCCAGTCCAGGGTGGGCACAGGTGTCTCTCTGGGCGGCTTTCGCCAAGATTGATTTCTCACATTTTTTATTTATTTCTACATTTCCACAGTTGGAAGGATGGGATGCATCAAGCCAGATGTTTGAAACGTAAAGCAGGACATCTCAACATTCCTTAATGCGCTTCCACCATAGACTTTGCTGTACCAGATGCTCAAAATGGTCTGAATTTCCTATTATGATTATAATAAAAATACTCAAATCAATTCATTGTCTCTTCATTGTAGAATCAGTAGAAAAACATAAGGAATGATCTTTTAAAGATTATTGAAAAGATAAAAACAAAAAATAGAATATAACTGACTGACGTGGGAATTTTGTGAGAAAGATGGCGCTCACTAAACTACCTTGAGTTATAATTATATTTATCATAAGTACAACATATCTTATTCCATGGTTTATTATCAATTAATTGACCAATTCTATTTAATTAAAATGACAGTTATTATTGTTGTGGTATATGTGGAATATTAAGAATATTTCAGTGTTGTTACACTGCAAATCAATATATCTGCAAATTTTATTTCTATTGTCTACAATAAAAAGATAGATCTAAGTACTGTGTATATGTTTAAGAATGTCAGAAACATGTTTTGAAAAATAATTAGAAACAATCTGGTTGCATATCTAATCTTCTGCCTCTCTGCTAGTTAGATTATTTGTTAATCTAAAGAGGGGAATACCGATGAAGCCAAGCTGGGAGAACTCCAGGATCATCCAGTCCTCTGAAGACAGCTGCAGGGCAAAGTTCTTCATGGTGGCAAAATAGTTGGGCTTGGCCACAATGTCATCCTCCAGCTACAGGAAACAACAAACAGAATGACAAATAGTAAAAAAGCCAGATATTGTTGGAGAAGAAAGTGGGATTATTTGTTTACAGGGAGGGTGGGAGAGGGAAGACTCCTCTATTTCCATGAAGACAATCGTCTGAACTGAGCTAGAAAACAAACTACAGCAAACTACAGTAGGAGTTTACACTAAGACAATGGATTTACTCATTAACAATACCTCTTCCTTCCATATGGGAGCTGATAGTAGAAAGGACATTTCATGGATGAGACAAAAAAATAAAGTTTAAGCAAAGTAAAACATATCTGGAAATAATTGTTTGGTACCGATCATGATATTAAATGGAGTTCCAAGATTAAATAAACAATAGATAGATTTTTATTTTGTTTCTGGTGGCACAAAACAAAACCTTTAGCCTTCTTGCATCTACATATTAAACATAAAACGTTAAACTATCAGAACATTTATTTGATTAACTCTGATGAGACCAAGATTGAAAAGCTCCATTCTAAGCAACAAACACACCTGGTGAGATTGGAGTCAAACAATAATAATTAGTTAAACTTTATTGATCTCACATTGGAGAAATGTACTCTCTGCATTTAACCCATCCCCTTGGGGAGCAGTGGGCTGCCATTGTGCGGCGCCGGCGGAGCAGTGTGGGGTTAAGGGTCTTTGCTCAGAGACCCAGAGTGGCAGTCTGTGGGAGTGGGGCTCAAATTCAGAACCTCAGGATTCCAAGCTCTTTGCCCTAATCACTAGGCCGCCACTTCCCCCATGAGAATAAATAAATAAATGATTAAATACATAAATCACTCCATGCCCAATGTTAAGTATATGCGATGATGTGGGTTTGATCTCTTTCCAAAGCCCAAAGTAACCTTGTGCTTGAAAAAACAGCAGTTTAAATAAAAATCAGCAGACCTCAAACCCTGATCTTAGGATAACTACAGGATAACTATCGAAAAAAAAAAACTTTAACCAGAAAAAACAAAATGTTTTCCATGATATCTGAGGTAACTTAAATCCTATAGAAAAGATGTTAGTTGAGCTGGAAAGATGAGAGCATAGGACTTCCATCATGCAATGATTCAAATCTTTTAATCTGTTATAGAACAGTAAGCCATTTTCTATTGATAATTTTTAATTTTTTCTAATCTTTTCCCACAAAGAAAGATAAAGCTGTATTTTTCTTCTTGAATTTGAGCGTGAGATTATGCCACAGCAGTAAAAAATGCACGTCATACATCCTCAGCGGGGTAGCCAGGAAATGAGGCTGCCGCTGTATTACAGGCAGTAGTAGAATGAGTAATAAATATTCCACACTTATCTCCGCTGAGATGTGATATTTGCACATAGTCAAAGGTTTATTATGGAAATATTTTATTACCTTTCAGAGAGTAAAGCGACAATAAATCAAAAAAGCATTTTAGATTAAATATTTTATGTATGGTAGTCATTTACCTGCAGCTTCAAACTTACCAAATTGAGACTTCTGCTGAGCTGCATGTTACACATACTGATTTAGCTCCAAATAGAAGCACTGAGGTATAAATCATTAAATATCTGAATTAAAATTCAAAGACATACCTGGACATAATAAACCCCTTTGCTCACAGCGTACATCATGAGAAAGGAATAATCCAAATTCTGCTTTGTTCGCCATCTAAACAAAGACATAAGACATTGAAACACAAATATTAAGATGGAGCCTACTGAATCTAGCTTTCTGCATATATCTGCAGATAACATGTCAGGCAGGTGAGAAGCAACAATGTTGGCAGGTATATGTGCAAAGGTAAAGGAGCAGATTCTGCTTGAATTATTTATAATGCCCAGCTGCCACGCTAATTGTTTGGTCCAACTGACGTAGCAGTGTGCTGTTCACCGAGGACTGCGGGTGTTTCTGTGTGGGAGCTGTCAGAAACATAATTCTGATTCTGCCTGCTCTATATATATATATATATATACATACTTAAAACACATCAGTAAACATGGACGGTCACTCATTCCAACTTAGCTGAGCACAGATTGCTTTGGAAGTCCACAATATTTTAATGACAACAGGTTTTAAATGCAAACTTATGCAATGTGACAATCAGGTTGAGCTAGATGCAATCTGAAACATCTATGCCCACTAACACCCACATGCAGTGCAGCTCTCCTGAAGGCTATTACGCGAGTCTGCACTGCACTGTAAATAGATTTCTAATGAATTCAGCTATAAAGGAAAGATAAGCACGGTGGGGCCCTACTAACAGACAGTGATACGGCGTGCTGCTGCTGATGACCTTGATCTGACTTTCACAAATGCCTGTGGAATACTAAGCGCCCCATCAAGCCAACTAAAAGCTCTTGCTTACTCCCTCCCTCCTCCCCCCTGACTCGTCTCTCTGGTTTTTCTGCAATCCTCAGAGATTTTTTTCAACAAATTTTACTTCAGAAAATTGCGTATTGTTTTTTTTTTTTCATTATAGGCAGAAGAAAGATATATACACATTGTATGAAGTACAGAAAGACAGCAAGTCTGATTCCTTATGTAAACTGTTTTCTAAAGTCTTTATACTATGAATGATTTTTGGAGCCTCAGGGGGCATGTTCAATGCGTCTGTTAGCATGTGAGGTGCTCATATGTGTAGGATTTTTCTGATTTAGAAAGCTTTTAAAATGATCCGTGATTAGTTAAATCAAAATATTGATGTTAAACTCTGAAAAGAAAACCAGTCCTTTTACTGAGAATTACAACCTTAAAATGTGAAAGCAGCAAAAGCCTTGAAATAGTCTTATCCCCAAGGCTTCACCGTTTATATTATAAATTTCATCTAGAGTCTAAAGTATTTGAGAGGGGGAAAAAAAAGGCCAAAATCTGCTTATGTTTGGCTGATCAGGTTTTCTTGACGACTAACAGCTTTGAAGCTGAAGGTTCGCAGATACAACATACGACTCATATAGAGGAGAAGAACCGAGGAACCTAATTGTAATGGGACTGATCACCCTCTTATTAACAATACTCTATCCTTAAAGGTGTGAAAGAGGATTTTTCTCAGAAATTAAGTATCCAGATTAATCTAAAATGACTGTAATGACAAAAAAAAAATTTAAACCCTTAAACTCTGGCCGTGGTGGGCGTACAAAACATTAGCTAATCCACTTTGTCTAATGTTGAAAGTGGATTGGCGACTTGTTTGTCAGACAAACATTTTGCGTTCATTCCTCCAGTACGTTATTACTTAGGCTCCAAGAGTAAATCATGCGCTGTTTGGCTAGCGGTCCGCCATTACAACCGATGCACAAAGAAATACTCCTAGGCTTGTTTGCTACTGCAGATTTTTTTTGGTGGCTATTTGTTCACTTTTTGTTCAAACTCCAGCATCAATGGCCAAAAAGGATCCTGCAAACCTAACCGGGAAAAAAAAGCCTTATTACGATGTAGCTGGAAACAGGAGAGAAAGTGGGAGAGAACGGAGTCGGCTAAGTGTGTGTTTAAAAGATTCTTTTCAGAGATGGCGTGCCCTAAAGGCACAAAAGTGTCGGAAAATGGATGCACTGGTTCTGCTGGACCGGTAAATTACATTTCATTCTGTAGTAAGTTGTAGCAGCAGTAGCGAGAACACACCAACAAATCTTAAATACAACTTGCAGTGATAACGTCGGCAAAGACCTCTTCTTTTTAAGGAGATTTCCTGCTGACTAGGTGCATTCTGGCACTTTGCTGCCTCTCTAGGTCAAGTACAACATTATCGGCGGCGCGCTACCAGCGTAGAGAACTTTTTTGAAGGGGGGGGGGGGGGGGGGGGCCGAAAAAAAAGGCCAAAAAAAAAAAAAAAAAAAAA